CCAAGGTGTGCCCATGTGTAAATACTCATTATGGCTTACGCTTATTATTTGGAATGTACATGACTTATTTTAATAAAAATCTCAGATCACAAAAAGGCAAAGATACAGAAAATAGGAAGTAAAAGTTAAGGAATAGCAAAATGGTTCAGCAGGTAAAAGGGCTTGCAGCCAAGCCTAACAACCTGAGTTCAATCCCTGGGACCTATATGGTGAAAGGATAGGACTGACACCTGTAATTTGTCTTCTGACCTCAACATGTACTTGTGCTCTCTCTCTCTCTCTCTGAATGAATAAAATGTACATTAAAATTTTTCTTAAGAAAATAAAGGTTAAGTCAGGCATAGTGACGCACCCCTTTAGTCCCAGCACTCAGGATGCAGAGGCAGGTGGATCTCTGTGAGTTCAAGGCAAGCCTGGTCTACACAGTGAGTACCAGGCTAGCTGCAGCTACAGGGAGACCCTGTCTCAAAAAACCAAAAAAGAAGAAGACGAAGAAGAAGGAGGAGGGGAAGGAGGAGGAGGGGAGGAAGAGGAGGAGGGGGAGGAGGAGGAGGAGAGGAAGAGGAGGAGGGGGAGGAGGAGGAGAGGAAGAGGAGAGGGAGGAGGAAGAAGAAGAGGAAGAAGAAGAGGAGGAAGAGGAAGAAGAAAATAAAAATTAAGAGTCTAAGAGTCATGGAGATAAAGTAAGAAGGTGTGCCCTTTTTTTGGTATTTTTGAGACAGAGTCTCCCTGTAGCCCCAGCTGATCTGGAACTCACTATGTAAACCAGGCTGACCTCAGTCTCACTGAGATCCACTTGCCTCTGTCTCTTAAGTGTTGGGCTTAAAGGCATGTACCACCACGCCCAGCGACAGGTATACCCATTTTTAATTTGTGTTCCATAAAAAGAGATGTGAGTGATGCAGTTTCCCCCAAAAACTAATGTAAGGCATGAATCCTCAGAGACAGGGGACAGTGATCCTAAGCAAACTAAATGAAATAAATCAACTCGGACATACCTACAGGTTCAAATATATCTTTATCATAGTAGCCACATACAAAATAAAACTTATCACCTTAATATATAAGGGCACAGTGAAATAATTCTACCTATATATACACTGAATTGTATCAAGCAAGATCAGGCAGGATACTGGGAGTATACAGGAAGCAGGTATTTTATTTAGGCTACATCCTGGTCCAGCGGGCTTAAGTTTCAAAATCTGGGCCCTGAAGGGAAGTAGCACATACCTTTTATACCTTAGGCATTGGGTTACAGTGAGCAGGAAACTTACAGATTGATTGGGTGTGAGTAAAGTCTCAAACCAAGCAAATTATAAATTTAGGAAAGAAAAAAAATGCTAAAAAAAAAAAAAATCCTGTCTGAAAGTCATTGCAGAAGCCTGAGGTAGAAAGAGGAACCATCTGTGAAAAGGGGACTAAAACCATAGGCTAGAAACTGCTAGCATCCCAATCACTAGGCTTGCCAGCAAACATCCTCCTACACATTGGTATAAACACATGAAGAAAGAGAAAACAAGGATTAAAATCCTTATTTCCCTTGAATACATCATCAGACTCTACATCAAAATGAAAAATCTCTAAAGTATTTTTAAACTAATGGTTTTTTAATTTTTGATTTTTTAATGTGTATGAGTGTATTGCCTGCATGTGTGTAAGTGCACCCATGTCATGCAATGCCCATGGAGGTCAGAAGAAGGTGTTGGATCCCCTGGAACTGGAGTCACCGATGGTTGTTAGCCACCATGTGGGTGCTGGGGATTGAAACCTGGATCCTCTGCAAGAGTACTCAGTATTCTTAACCGGTGAGCCATTTCTCCAGTCCTGAACTGTTTTTTAAGATTTATTTTTATTTTACATGTATGTTTTTTTCCTACACATATGTAAATGTAACATGTACATGCAGTGCCCATGGAAACATGAGGGTGTTGGATTCCCTGGAACTGGAGTTACAGATGAGATGCTTGTTAGCTGCCATGTGGGTGCTAGGAATCAAACCTGGGTCCTCTGCAAGTGCAGCCAGTGCAGCCCAGCATAGTGGTGCATGCCTTTAATCCTAGCACTCAACTCCAGATGCAGAGGCAGGAGGATCTCTGTGAGTTCAAGGCCAGCTTGGTCTACATAGTGAGTTCCAGGCCAGCTGGGGGTACAGGAAGAACCTGTTTCAAAAGACCAAATAAATAAATAAATAAATAAATAAATAAATAAATAAACAAATAAATATCTCATACGTCTTTTCCACAAAACTTTAGAGGTATTGTAAGGGACTAAATCCTTAATAAGCAAACAGGGTCACTGAGAAGTAATAAGGATGGCACATTTCTGTTTCTTGGTCTCTGGCAAGAAGGCCTTATTTTTAACTCCAACCAAGCCCCTTTGACTTCCGGGCTTAGAGTCATGTAGCCCTGGATATCTCCTCTTGGAGATGTGACTGATCAGCCTTCTCTTCTGTGTTTAAGTTGACCCATCCAAAATTATGGGTGGGAAACCACTACCACCCACAAAACTCAGATCCTTCTGGGGGATGCTGGATTCCAATTTCCAGCTCCCCTCTTCACTTGTAGGGAGCTTTATCTCTGTGTGAGTGTGTGTATGTATGTATGTATCTCTGTGCGAGTGTGTGTGTGTGTGTGTGTGTGTGTGTGTGTGTGTGTGTCTTTCAATAAAAGCTTGTTTGCCTGTTGCTCTTTGCTGGTCTGAGAATTTTTTTTTTTTCCTGCCTTTAATTCTTGGCTGAGAAAATGAACTGAACCTTACCCCCAGATTGATGATGTGCCATTGGCAATAGTATCCTAGGTAGTCAAAAAAAATTTTTTAACAGCCTGAAGCAGCAATTTTGAAAATAGATTTAAATTCATTTCAATAGTAAAGACTAATGAGTCTTATATATGCTCTCTTTGGAAACCAAAGAATCTGCTGATCCCAGGTGTCTGGGCACTGCAATTTTGTGAATTGTTGTTTCAGCTGAGCTCTATTGGGTTCATCAGCAGGGAGGGAGTAAAACCTCCGGTCAACTCTTTAAACATCCTGTTTACTTCCCGTCACAGCAAAATACCCATTACTCCATTCAAAGACTGACTGTTAAATCACACAGGCCTAAAACTATCATTTCGTATACTACACTCTTCCTACTCATATGCGTAAATGTAAAAGAAAAAAATTATAAGTATTTTAAGTCTGTCTCTCTTTTTAGGGAGCATGTAGTTGGCAACATCGGATGCTAACATACAAGCATGAAATTATTTAGTCTAAAAAACCTGTGCTAACTGGGAACCATGGTGAATTAAATCTTGTTCCTGCTGCCTACCTTGCCAATTTGTCTGAAGTAGTTTTTGAGCATCCTCTGAGACGATTCGCTTCCCTCTGGTGTTCAGAGCAGGGGATGGGGTACTTCTTGGCTCTCTTCAGCACAGCTCCCAAGCCATCCCTCTTGCCTGTTCAGGTAAAGAAGTCTCCTATTGAGTCCCTGACCACCCAGTTATCGGGATTGCTAAACCCCTCTCCCCGATCAGTACTGCCCCTACCGACTTCTGGGACATAATCTGCATGTTTTCTGAAGACCATGGCAGCTGCACCCTATTCCAAGTCTTGCCATCCTGCTGTGTGATTTCAATGTCCATCTAAAGCCTTTATGCAATATCCTGACATTTTATCTAGGTCTCATAAGCATCCCAGCCTCAAACTTACCTCTGCTTCACTGTGGTTTCCCTTCAGTGGGGAATACCTTGTATTGTTTGACCTCTAAAACTCTTAAAGCAGTTCATTACTAATATGTGACTCTCAACCCACATCTTAGAAATAAGAGAAAGGAGATTAGAGTTGGAATATGCAGTCACCTAGAAGAAATTTGTGAAAGACTTAAAATTAGACAGAAGATATTAACACATATAAAAGCTGTGTCAAGGCAAGTCTATGCAATCCTCATTGATGGCCTGTCTGGTTTTCTAGTCTCTAGCCTTACCCATGCTGCTCTATCCCTCACACAGCTATCAGAAATATCTTCCTGGTAAGCACACCTGCAAGCATTACTCTCTCTTCTTTCAATGACGCTTTACTCTTAGCTCTTGCTTCTTTGTTATATCAACTACCTTTCAATTCTTTTAAATTCTTAGCGCTTGTAATTTGAATCTAAATGTCCTCCAAGGCTCATGTGTTAGGTTAGGTTGCCACTTGGAGGGGCTGTATGATCTCTAAGCAAGATACTTTACATGACTATGCCTCAGTTTCATTTTTAGTAAAATTGAGATAAAGATAGAATCTTGTCGGGGTTATTTGGAGAATAATTGAAACATTGAACAGTGCAGGGATATCATGGCATGTATTGTTTATGTTTATCCAGTCCCTATTTTCAAAAAAATATTTTATTATGGGTGTATTGCTTGCATCTATGTGAGTGCACCCACGCGTACAATGCCCGAGGAGGTCAGTGGAGGGCTTTGGATTTCCCTGGACGTGGAGTTAAGGATCGTTCGTAGCCTCCATGTGGGTGTTGGGAATCAAACCCTGATCCTCTGCAAGAGCAGTCAGTGCTCTTAACCGCTGTGCCATCTCTCTCCAGCCCCACTTATCCAGTCCCTTTACAAGTTTCTCAACAAAATACCGAATCAAAAATTTTATTAAGCACTTATTTTTGCTTAATGTTATATATTTTGTAGCTTTTCTCATTCCACACCCTGTCCGCAATAACAATAGTTTTCTTCCTTGATTCCTTTTCCCTCTTTAAACTTGCCAATTCAGGTCCCCAAATCCGTTCCAGTTTGGAATTACCCCGAGAAATCTGAATGAACAGAAAGCCCTGCCTGTGTGAGGTCTAACCAGACTAGGGGGCAGCGAGGAAGGGCACAGAGCCAATCAGGCCACCGGAAGCCACACCCAGCCCCGACCTGCCAGGCTAGGTGCCCACACGCCGCAGCCGCCAGGCGACTTTTGCACCCGAGCTGCCCACTGCGCTGAGACCGGAAGTATGGCCCTCACGAGGGCGGACAGCCAATCAGAAGCGAGGAGAGAGCGGAAGAGACGCGGTCTAGTTCCGGATGCGGCCTCCGTAGCTGCCGCCATCTGTCACCTCAGCTCCGGCAGCAGCAGCGGGTCTTCCGTAGTCCGCTCCTGTACTCGGCCGAGCCCACTCCCTGTCGTGTCACCTTTCGGCTGCGCTGTTGTCCCCGCCTTCTTTCCTGAATGGACCTGGTGGGAGTGGCTTCTCCTGAGACCCGGCCGGCCGCAGCCTGGGGACCCACTAAGGTGAGCGGGGGTCGGGGTGGCACACCTGTCGGGCGCTCCACCCGGGGACAGGTGACTCGGACCGGGGGGGGGGGTTGTCCCCGGGATTGGGGCCCTGAGGCCGCCCTGTGTGCTCGGGGTCCGGCTGGATGTGTCTGCGGCCTGCGTGTCAGCAGAACACCCATCCAGACCCTGACGGCCGAGGGGAAGCAGCACCGCCCTTTCATCAAGTCGGCCTCGCGGAAAACTGGTCTAGGAAGCCATTTCCTTCATCCAAGTGCAGTTGTCCCTGTAGGTCATTTCTTGGTTTCGAGGTGTTAAAGATACATGCCTAAACGCGGCCATCCGCCTCCATCTAATGCTGAAGTGCTGTAAAATGGGTATGAGTTTTCATGATCCGCCATAGCACCCCCTCGGATGACAACCTAAAATCCTTCATAGTCAACGTCGGATTTTGAGCCTGCGTCTCCTCGTGGTACTTTGATTAGAAGGATGCAAAGACCTGTGGCACTTGCTGACAGCAGTGCTTCCGTTGCGGTTTGTAGCCTTCAAATTAAGGTCGGGAAGGGATCCAGCCCTTTAAACTTCATAATTTACCTTCTTGTGCTAGCACAGACTACTCGTTTCATTTAAAAGGTCATCTGTTAATTTTACTGAGCCTTCAGACTTGGTCTTAATAGAAAAGGAGATAAGTAATTATTAAGTTAAACGTGTTAATTTTATGTTTATGCACCTGTAGGAAGAATCTAATAGTCTGTTGGTAAGTATACTTAGATCTTCATGTTATTTCATCCATTATGTATATGAGTGCCCGTGAGCACACACAGGTGTTTTAAGACCTTGTAGATGAGGTCAAGATCAACAGATGTAAAGGACAAAAATCAGAGACCATAAAAATGCAGATTAAATTCCTCCCGTTCGTTCAGTAGAATACCCACAAAGTCCAAATAAGGAAAGTCAAATGAAAACTTCTTAACCTCAGAACAAGTTTTACAAAATAATGCCTAATAAATAGTGTCAGTCACTCTCATTTAAGTGTATATCAGAACTCTGAAAGTTCATTTTCATCATTGAACAAAATATGTGCTCCCAGGGTTTATTGCATAGACAAGACTTTGAGAAAACGATCAAAAAGAGGCCAAAGTGAGCACCGAAGCCAACATAGAGGAGGTAGAGATGATCAGGGTCTTGAAAAGTGTAAAGGAATATATAAGGCCAGTGAATCTAAAACTTTGTTAGGGCTTTTTTATACTCTTAAAAATTACTGAAGACTCCAAAGAATTTTTGATAATTATGTCAGAGATTAAAACTGAGAAATTAAAGATTAAGCCATTAAATTACATTAACATAAAAATGTTATATTAAACAACTTTCCAAAGAAAACAAAAGACAAAACTAGTGGAGAGACTAGGTTTTTGTTTATTGTTTTTAAGACCATGTCTCCCTGTTCTGAAACTTGCTTTGTAGATCAGGCTATCCTTAATCTCACAGAGAACTGCCTGCCTCTGCCTCCCGAGTGCTGGGATTGCTCATTGTTGTTCTTTTCTTTTAAATCTCTTTAATGTTTGGCTTAATAGAAGGTAGCTCATTCTTGTATCAATTTGTTGTAATATATTTTTGGATTGAAGTGTATGGGAAAAACCCATCTTCACAAATATAAGGATAGCAACTATCATTGAAGACAGTGGAATACAGTAGAGAGAAATAAAATTGGGTTAAGTCTCTAAAAGTGCACATTTATATCCTAAATGTGCTACCTTAGAGCATTTTAGAAAGCATGAATATGCAAGCATACATTCCATTAGCCAGCAGAGTGATGATGCCATCTTGTCTGATGTAGATGCTGGAAAACTCTGTACTTGAGAGAATGAGGATTAAAAAGACAAAAGACATCTCAGTACTTTGACCTCATAGACCCTCAGAAAGAGTCCTAGTGATACCCTCTCCTAAGGAACCAGTTACAAAATGGTGAAGTGCTATTATAGGCAAAAAGTTTTAGGGCATAGTTCAAGAAAGGGGGATTGTCAGACTTTACAAAAGTGAGGAGGTATCTCTTTAGAAAGTGAGTTGTGAAAAGATGAGCTAGTAGTATACCTCCAAATTGCCGTGGTCATCAGAGAGTGCGAGAAACCCATAACCAAGAGGAACTTAAGGAAACATGACAGCTAAATATAATGTGATACCCTGGATGCAATTCTGCAGTAGGAAAAGGACATTAGGTAATAAGGACCTCTGAATAAGTATGGCCTTTGGTTAACTATTGCTAAGATATTGCCAGACATGGTGGTATGTGCCTATAATCCCAAAGTAGAGGCAAGAAAGCCAGTTCAAAGCCAACTTGGGCTACCTATTGAAATCCCATCTCAAAAACAAACAAACAAAAAAATATTGATCCACTCGCTGCGCCTGATGGTACACACCTGTAATTCCAGCACCGGAGAAGCTGAAGCAGATGGACTGGGGGCAGGTGGTAATGGGGGTGGGGTTCAAAACCAGCCTGGGTTACATAGCAAGACTCTTAAAAAAAAAAAAAAGTTCATTCATTGTGACAGACATGCGATATTAATGCAAGGTGTGACTCATAGGAAAAACCCAGGTCACTGTTCCCAAAGACCTTGATTTTGAGATGTAAAATGACTCAAATATGATTCTTGGATTATTTGGTTATGAAAAAAGATCGTCCTGTGAGTTGTGGATTTTCTTGACAAAGTAGAGGGCTGAATTTTTGTTACTATGTGCCTCTTCTGTGTTGACTGTTTTTTCATTTTTACTTAACTCTCCCCAGCTGTATGGTCAGTAAAACATGAGATGAGCAGCTTAGGGACACCTCATTAAGGAGCTGAAGGGAAAGGTTGGTTTCCTTCCAGTCTGTAGTCAGCCAGAGGTGGGAGAGTGTGGCCGTGGTCAAGAACTTTGGGACCAGAGTTCAGTGATGGCACTTCAGCAGAGGAGAGGAAAACAGGAAAGGTCTCAGGGCTGAGGACTCAGGAAGCGGGCTGTGGGTTTATTGGAGACTTTGTTAGTTCTATGATGCTGAGCCCCAAACCTCTGAGAGAACAACCTGGTAGGAGGAAAGTCTTATTTTGGCTCATGATTTAGACTGTGGTCACTTGGCTGTGTGTTTATGGGCCGGTTGTGAGGCAGTACATCATGGTGGGTAGGGGCTTGTGATTAGGAAGCGGAACAGAACTTTTATGGTCTAGTTGTCTCTGAGAACACCCTCACAGACACCCAGAGCTGATTTTTTAATTGAGGCATTTCTTAATCTAGTCATATTGATAATTGTGATTGACTGCAAATGCTCTTAGAAAGGATTATGTACTGTTTCTCATAAGATCTTGATGTTATGTGTAATTATGTTGATGAACAGTATAGTTAAGGAATGACTTTGGATAGAACAAGAGTCTTATTTTTCACCCATTGCCTTAGATTTATTACTTCACATTAAAGTTTATTTGTGGGTGGGTGTGTGGGTGTGGTGGGGTGTGGCACATGTGCCACAGCATGTGAGCATGTTGAGATGAGAGGACAACCTTGTGGAGTCAGTTCTTTCCACCTTTATGTGAGTTCTGATTATCCAACTTGGATAACCAGGTTTGGCTGCAAATGCTTTACGGCTGAGCCATCTAACTGGTCGAGCCATCTAACTGGCCCATTACTATGTAAACAATAAAAAGTTTGATTTACTAAAGACTCACAAGAGATTGACAGATTCTCCACTATATATCCCTGGTGCCTGTTCATAGGAAAAGACGTCAGTACATTTTCCAAGTCTCCTTCTTTGGGATGAGCCACTTTGTGGGATAGAGACTGTGCATGAGGGTCTGTCTGTTCCTTGGAATGAGCCACTTTGTGGGATAGAGACTGTCCATGAGGGTCTGTTCCCTACCCCAAAGCTGTCCTTTACAGAGCCCAGGAGAATTTATGGAGGGCTTTTAATAGCTAGTTTGAAATGTTTGGAATTGATTTCAAAATGTGGGAGTTGGTAGCCTTTCTGAAATCTTGACTTATTACCTATCCTGAGGACGTTGCCTCAGTGTGTAGTGACCCAGTTGAGCTGATTTGCAGATGAGGGAAGTGAAGCTCTAGAGGGTGAGGCTCCACAGAACAAGGTCAGTGTGTGTGGCTCTTAGGCTGTTTCCCCCTTCTATCCTAATCTCTTGGGAATAGGGAAATCTCCATCTCAGAATAACAAAATTGCTGCCTGATATTTTTTCCTCTTCTGAGAAATTTTCAGCTGTTTACTTAATGTCCTTGTAGAATCAGACAGCAGAGTCAGGTAGACCAGGAGCCTTAGAAATAGGTAGGCAAGATGGAGGAAAGGGTTCCAGAATAAAAGGGTTGTTACAAGCACCAGACCTCTGAAGCTTGGCTACCTTCCACTAACTTTGCATTGTTTTCTTGAGGCATGTGTTATTCTCTGAGTATTTGAATTCTTCTGTGTCCAAGTTCTATGCTGCGTGCAGTGCTTGAGAGGGCCCTACCTCTCAAGGGGCTTTCTTTGCCATGGCTGATGCATGAACCTTAGTGATGATTCTGCGCTAAAGGAACTTTGCTTTGTATCAACAAATTAAAAAGAAAAGACTTATATTTGAGGAGAAAGCATAAACATTTACTTCATGTTAATTAGTAGAGGTGATAAACATTACCACTGAAATCTACCTGATGACTTTATATCTATACTCTGGTGCCAAGGATCCGAGTGCAACCGACTGTGACTAGTAATAATCAGATATATAGAGATTAAAGACACATGTGCAAACATCTAAGCGTTAGTAGCATTAAAAATGTAGGAAACAGCATTTTTATTTATTTATTTATTTTTTGGTCTTTTTGAAACAGGGTCTCCCTGTAGCCCCAGCTGTCCTGGAACTCACTGTGTAGACCAGGCTGGCCTTGAACTCACAAAGATCCACCTGCCTCTGCCTCCCAAGTGCTGGGACTACAGGTGTGCGCCACCATGGCCGGCTGGAAACAGCATATTTTAAAATGAAATGGAGATCTTCTTTAAAGGTTAAAAACTCAATTTTTAAAAATATTTTTTTTTATTTTATATGTATGAGTGTATTGCCTGCAATGTATGTGAGTGCACCTGTGTTGTACAGTGTGGAGGAGGTCAGAAGAAGGCTTTGGATTCCCTTGGAACTGGAGTTAAGGACGGTTTGTAGCCTCCATGTGGGTGCTGGGAATCTGACCCAGGTCCTCTGCAAGAGCAGTCAGTGCTCTTAACCGCTGAGCCATCTCTCCAGCTCCCCGCCCCCCCAAATCATTCAATTTTATGTCTTACAGGGTTTATACTGAGTTCAATATTGTATAACTGTATTAATTCAACTGTGAAAAATTTACAGCCACTTTTGAAAGAGATGTATCCTTGCTCTGGAAATTGCTACTAAATATGTTAAAGCTGTAATGAAATGCTTCTAATCGTGTGGTTATTAAATTTAAAAAATGGGGATGTTATTGCAGCTACTCAGTTGTTGTGTGATTTAAATAACCTAGAGAAGTTTCGTATGTTCAGTTAGCTAAGTGACTTTAATATAGGGACTATTGAAATGTTATCTGTTAGGCTGGGAGTGTAGCTCAGTGACAACAGAGTGATTGCCTAAAATACATGGGGCCTTGAATGCAGTCCTTACCACTATACAAGGAAAGGAGGGGGTGAGGGAAGGAGAAAAGAAAGGAGAGAGCATGTTATTTGTTAGCTAGGTGTTGTAGCATTAGACCTGTAATCCTAGCACTTTGGGAGGCTGAGATAGGACCATGTGTTCAAGGCCAATCTGGGCTACATAGTGAGTTTGAGGTTAGCTTGGCCTAAACAGGGAGACCCTGTCTCAGAAAAAGAGGAGAGGGAGAAGGGAATAGAAAGGAGGGAATTTCCTCCTCACTGTTTACTGTTAGTTCTTGTCATATGTGAGTCAGATGGTGACTGAGAAAATATATCTGCCTTTTGGAGCCTGGACTTTGGAACTTATCAGACCGTGAATTTCTAAGCTAAAGAGCAAAAGAAGTCAGCAGTTAGAAGGCCAAAAGATAAACTAGGTTCTATATTTTACAGAGAACTTTGTTTTATTTTGCTGGGTGAATTCAAGTTGCATCAAACCTTAAAGAAACTTCTTCTGTCTAGGTGAGGCCTTTTATGAGGATAGAAAACTACAGTGGTTACTATAGGTTGTCTGAGGGGCTAGGTGCGTCTCCTCTGTCTCAGGCTGAGTCCAGACTAAACTTGATTCAGGTTCTCTTAGGCATAAATATAGTTATCATTGTTTATCACTACCCAGACAGCCTACCCAAGTCAGTTCTGACACCCCCGCCCTGGCCAGTTCTGATCCACACAGGGTTTTGGAACCTAGTCATGGTTCTTTTGTTTAGTTGTCTTGAGTCATACCAGTTAAATCTCCTGTGCTGTCTCCCCTTCATTAAATATGTTGTGGCTAATATTACTGTGTGTTAATTCTATATTAGACACGAATTAGGGAATGAGCTCAGACTTTATCCAAAGGCAGGGAAACCATGAAATATTTAAATAAGGGAGTGTAATAAAATCTACATTTTCAGAAAAACACTGTTGTGACAAGACAAGTAGATAGAGGCGTTAGAACTTTTAGGAAAATTGTGAAATAAATCTAGAATTTCTATTTGAAGGACACTGAGACAGTGGTGTCATTGAGGGATGCCAACGCCAAAGAAGAGTCTTATGGAACATTACTGTGAGCGTACTGTGTTAAGTCTTTCAAATCCTCAAGGTCAGAACTAGAACTTTGTGTAGCTTGTTCTTGGTTTTGTTTTAGCATAAACTAAGATATCTTAAGAGGGTTTGACACTTTTACTACTTAGCTACAGCATTATGCTTAATTTAGAATAAGGCATAACTTCTAAGCAGAATTTGAACGGTACTGGTTGGTATCTACTTTTTCCTTTTTGAGACCACCTTATTCTGCAGCTCAAGCTCACTCATAGCAGTCCTCCTCCTTCAGTTTAGGTGCTGGAATTAAGGGGTTAGCCATCATGCCTGGTGGTATAATCTATTTCATAAGAAAATCTAAGGTGGGGGGCTGGAGAGATAGCTCAGTGTTTAAGAGTATTGGTTGCTCTTGCAAAGGATCCAGGTTCAGTCCCCAGCACCCACATGGTGACTAAAAGAAGAGCTGAGAGGGGGATGGGGGTGGGGGACGGGATTGGCTCAGTAGTTAAGAGCACTGGCTGCTCTTACAGAGGACCTGGGTTTGATTCCCAGCACCCATGTGGCGGCTAACATCTGTCCATAATTCCAGTTCCAGGGGGATCTGACACTCAAACACAGACTTTTAATCCCAGCACTCTGAAGGCAGAAGCAGGCAGATATCTGTGAGGTTGAGGCCAGTCTGGTCTACATAGCAAATTCTAGGCCAACTCAGGCTACGGGGGCGGGGCAGGGGGGAGGGGGATAGGGGAAGAGGGGAGAGAAACACTAATCATAAACAGAAAGCTGCATATGGTGGGCAAGGAATTGGAACAAAAGGAGTTACTTGAAATCCTTGCCTGGTAGGATAATGCTGTAATAGCCTGCTTCTTTCCTCAGCCATAAGAATGTTCCTGCCAAACAGGCCAGAAAGCCTGGCTATTTTAGTTTATATTTATCCTCAAGATTTGAGGTGGGGGACTGGCAAGATAGCTCATCAGGTAAAGGCGCTTACTGCCAAGCCTGATGTCCTGAGTTGGGTCTAATCCCAGGACCCACATGGTGAAAGGAGAGAACCATCTACCACAAATTGTCCTCTGATCTTCACTTGAGAGTTACAGCATGCATGCATGCATGCACAAATAAATAAATAAAAATGTGATAAACAGTTAAATATATTTGAGCTGGAGCTGAGCTGGAGATAGTTCTTTTTAAGATGAATTTTGCAAATAGCTTGTCATTTGTTTGGGTCAGTTTAACTAGTTTAAGTCTCTAAGGATGACTTCATTTATGAGTTATTTCATTATTATGAAGTGGATTTTTTTCTCTTTAAATAGTGCCCATGGGCTACGTCTCAAAACACAATGTCCTGTTCATTGACTGATGTGATGAGTGAAGAGTTGGCTAAAGAGTTGCAGTTGGAGGAAGAAGCTGCTGCTTTTCCTGAAGTTGTGTAAGTGAAGTTCGCAGAGCCATTGCTTTGTCTAGCAGCTTACTGTGACAGAGTTGTAAAGTCTGATTAGTGATCATTATGGATGAGTAAGAAATATTTAGAAAATCAATGCAGAAGAAAGCACCATACTAAGAGACTATCAGTATTTGAATTTTGGTTCAATTCTGTGACTAGTTCTCAATAGAGATTGAGTATTGCCTAAAGTTTTGGACACTCAAAAAAGCACTTAGAAATGTTCAGATTTTGGAGTACTTTGTATTAGAACTTTTAGATTATGGATGCTTAACTGGTAGTCTGTGTTAATTCCAGAATCTGAAAACTGCAGAATCAAAAGTACTTCTGGTCCTAATAATTTCCAATAAGAAATACTGAGCCTATATTATCTTATACAAACCACTATTTCTCTGGGTTTTGTTAGTTCCTGTTAATGCAACAATTGAACTACTTGAGATACAGTTTTCAAATGTTTGTTGTTTGTCTTCATGATTTTTTTCTCTCCTTTGATTAGCACACAGATGAAATGCATTCTGGGTCCCGGTGTGGATTTTCTGATAGACCTTTCAGTTTCTCTCCTGGCTCTCTAAGTCCAAAGTGGGGCTCTCCTAGAATTGGCCATTGGTCTTGAGGCTAGCTGAGCAGCAGGTGGTGAATGGCCTGATAGAGTTCTGACCCATTCTCCATATGCTCCTAACACTGCCAGACACTTCTACTCTACTGTCAGTAGGCTCTCTTCCATCAGCACATTATATCAGTTTGTATTGCCTTATTTTGAATAGTGTTGCTGAAAGACCATTTATTTCTGGAGAAAACATTGACACTTCCAGTGACCTAATGTTGGCTCAGATGCTACAGATGGAATTTGACAGAGAATATGATGCTCAGCTGAGGCGTGAAGAGAAAAAGTTCAATGGTGATAGCAAAGGTACTGTGACCTTATTGTGACACCTCCATTGGGTGGTAGAAAATGCTTGTCCTATATTCCTACGTAAATTGCCAACTGTTTTTGCCTTTTAAGTTTCCATTTCATTTGAAAATTACCGAAAAGTGCATCCTTTTGAAGACAGTGACAGCTCTGAAGATGAGGTTGATTGGCAGGACACTCGTGATGATCCTTACAGACCAGGTGCTTTGAATTTCTGGGGGTGCAGTCGGGAGGGTAGAGGAAGATGAATTTTCCCTATGAGCTGTTTAGCTTTATGTTCATATTTTAATTTCATTTGGTAATTTTGTCAGATTCAAATCTCTCTTCAGACAATGTTGAATGTAGGAGTTTACTCTCAATCCTTTTTATATCTTGGCTTTTCTTAATCGCTTTTAGCAAAGCCAGTTCCTACTCCCAAAAAGGGTTTTATTGGCAAAGGAAAAGACATCACCACCAAGCATGATGAAGTAGTGTGTGGGAGAAAGAACACAGCGAGGATGGAGAACGTAAGTGACTGGAAGTGCGTCTCTCAGTCAAGAGCTCTGTGTGCATGTGTGGGGTTTTTTTTTTTTTTTTTTTTTGGTCTTTTTGAGATGGTCTCCTTGTAGCCTCAGCTGTCTGGAACTCACTATGTAGACCAGGCTGGTCTTGAACTCACAAAGATCGCCTGCCTCTGCCTCCCAAGTGGTGGGATTAAAGGTGTGTGCCACCACGCGGTATCCTAAACATGATGCATTTCTAAAACTTTGTTTTTCTAGGATTCACTTTATCTTTTTCTTTTCATACAGGATCTCTCTCTATAGCTCAGGCTGGCCTCCAACTCATGCTCTTCCTCCTTCCTCTGTGCTGGGAGTACAAGTGTGTACTGCCATACCAGGCTCTGGAGATGCTTTAGATGACAGTGTAGCAATGCCATAGAAACCCAGCCACTAAGAGAATATGAAGTACCTCAGAATCAAACCCTGTGCTGATATTTTTAAAACTAATTTGATTTACATGATTCTAAAATTAAGAAATAAAGCAGGGCATGGGTGGCATGTGCTGAGATCCCAGTACCTAGGAGGTGGAAACAGGATCAGGAATTCAGGGTCATCCTTGGCTACATAGTAATTTCAAGGCTAGCCTGGATTACAGTAGAAAACAGAAAGAAATAATTCTTTTAGCATATTTTTTATAAAATAGCATTTCTGAGCTGGGCATGATGGCGTACTCCTTTAATCCCAGCACTGGGAGGCAGAGGCAGGCTGATCTCTTGAGTTCAAGGCCAGCCTGGTCTACATAGCGAGTTCCAGGCCAGCTGGGGCTGCAGGGAGATCCTATCTCAAAAAGACCAAAAAAATAAAAAATAACATTTCTACAGGAAACAATAACTGGGACTAGAACTTGAAGGAATAAATGCTTTTTACTGTGTAGCCTTTTATAGTTTTGATACTTTGCTTTGTAGTGCTGGGGCTCAACCCCAGGGCCTTGTACATGCTGAGCATAGCCACTCAGCTCCATTTCCACCTCATGCTTTTGGAAGTTTTCCTTACCTTTTGCCTGAACTACCTCTGCAATATAGGGAATAATAATTAATTTTTTAAAAAGTATTTTCTTCACAAATATTGCAGCTAGTATAAAACATGTAGACCTGTGCATGCATAACAAAAACTCAGCATGGAGGGGGAGGAGGGTGAGAAGCCCAGCCCTAGCTAGGATCTATGGGCAATTGATGGCTACTGGGAGAGGGAGATTGCAGTTGTCTTCAGGGGTATGAAGCTGGGTAGGTTGACCAGACTCTGGGAGATAGACCTCACCCAGGAGCATTTGGGGACCACAGAATAGATTCAATAGGACTTAGGAAAAAAAAAAAAAAAATAGGGGCTGGAGAGATAGCTCAGCAGTTAAGAACACTGGTTGCTCTTGCAGAAGACCCGGGTTCGAATCCCAGCACCCACGTGGCAGCAACAACTGTCTGTAACTCCAGTCCCAGGGGCTCCAACAGCCTCTTCTGTTCTCCCGGGCATTGCATGACACGGGTGCACTTACCTACATGCAGACAATACATATACATAAAATAAAAATAAATAAATCTTTAAAAAGAAATAGGGGGAGTGGGTCTGAATGTGAGCAAAACACATTATATGAAATTTCTGAAGAATCAGTTAAAAGGTGCTTTTTTTTTTTGTTTTTGAGACAGAATGTCTAGCCCTAGGCATCCTAGAACTTGTAGACCAGGCTGGCCTTAAAACTCACAGAGATCCACCTGCCTCTGCCTCACAATTGCTGAGATTGAAGGTGTGCATCTGACCCAGTAAAAAATTTAAAAGCCATGTAGACCTTAACAAGTGCTGTTAGATATCATGTCATGTCTAGAAATAGTCCATATCTGACCTTAGAACTGTGCTATGTGGTAGAGATTTGTGATAATGGAAAGAATGTCTGTCTCTATTTTCTAACATGGTAGCTATATTTGCTATTAAGCACTTAAAATTGGTGCAACTAAGGAACTGAGAATTCGGGTTTTTTTGTTTTGTTTTTTTCCTTGAGACAGTGTCTCCCTGTAGCCCCAGCTGACCTGAAACCTACTATATAGACCAGGCTGGCCCAGAACTCATCTGCCTGCCTCTGCCTCCCAAGTGCTGGGATTAAGCATGCACCACCACACCCAGCATATGAAATTGAATTTAAATATCCATGTGGTGGCTAGCAGCTACCTAACTGGACTATGTAACTTGAGAATATAATTGTCATAGATACGACTGGTATAGTTTACCAGCTTAGTCCTCAAAAATAATTTTGAAATTGTATTTCTTTGATAAGTTTGGTATAGCCTTTACAATATAATATTGTGTTCTTTGGCATAAAAATAAGGTACAAAGCATATTACAGAAAGACTTTAGTTTTAGATGTGATGAGATGTCTTCTGTGCTTAGAATAAAGCCTTCCTTGGGCTGCAGTTTCTCTGGCAGTGTCGCTCTTTATATCAGTGGGTTGTTTTTCCCTGGAGTGCCTGAGGGCTCTGTTTCTTTGGCATGATCATCTGTCAAGTAGGAAATCTGTTCTAAGTAAAGACCAACTTTTCACTCATCCCCATCTAAAAATGTTTAACTGCTACTCCTTTTGTCTTTGTCAGTTTGCACCTGGCTTTCAGGTAGGAGATGGAATTGGAATGGATTTAAAACTGTCCAACCATGTTTTCAATGCTTTAAAACAACATGCCTACTCAGAGGAGCGTCGCAGTGCCCGGCTTCATGAGAAGAAGGAACATTCTACTGCAGTAAGCATTCTTAGATTTTTCCCCCCCCTCTTTAAAGGAAAATTTCATATTAAAAACTTTGGAGGAAAAGAGCAAAACAAAACTTCATGATTGCTTTTGTTTTCCCCCTGAGATTGACTTTACATATCATCGCCACCCAAGTCGTTTTATTGGCTTTTTAGACTTAACATAATAGTTACTGAAAACACAGCATCATTGGGCTTTTCATTTCTAGAAGTGGTGCCACCAGGCACTTAGGATGAGGCATATTGAAGGCAAAGCCACTCTTTCCATATGGCCCTTCTAGCCAAGTGGGTCCCTCAGATAAGAGCAGTGCCCAAGACAGCACTGCCAGTAGTTTAGTCTCCAGCAGCAGCCCCACTGTCTGCAGCTGGTGTGACTGTGGGCTCTGCTGTTAGGCATATACTGGTCTATGCCATCACTGGAGGCTTCAGTGGAGGTAGTAATATTGAGCCTTCAAGGCCTAACATAATTTCTCAGGACCCTTAGGGAACCCAGCTCGCTCAGTAGCACCAGTGTGTCTGCCCTTGATTTCATGAGGTAAAACAGTTTTTAGAATGTGGCCAGCGCAAAGGTTTTAGTAAAGTACTGAAGCGGTGCAGTCCTGCAGATGGATTAGTCTGATCAGAAAGTTCAAGTTGAGCTGGTTGTGTGGCTTATACCCATAATCCTAGCATTTTGGAGGGTGAGGCAAGATTGTTGCCATGAGTTTGAGGCTAGCTTATGGCTACATAGTGATTTCCTGACCAGCCTGGACTAATGAGACCTTATTGCAAAAATAAAGGGTCAGGCTGAGTAGTACATACCCTTAATCCTGGCACTCGGGAGGCGAATCTCTGTGAGATCGAGGCCAGCTGGGGGGATCCTGTCTCAAAAAATATTCATAAAAATAAAGGAATACAGGTGTATTAGTTGCTCTCTGGGCTAATGCAATTGAAGAAATATTTGAAAATTGAGTCTGATTACCAGGTTTACAAAAAAAAAAAAAAAAAAAGAATTCATGATGAAAGGGTTTAAAGCTGTCTTGTTAGTAATATTACTGCTTTAGAATGCCATGACTATCAGGAAGATTTCAGAGATAGAATATTTGGGGCTGGCAAATGATTATATGGCCTCCTTAAACCAACTAGGTGAGAATATTTGTGAATTGACTAGAATAAAGGGATTTCCTTCCAAAAAGTTACATTTTAGTGCTCATAATTCAGAGTATACAGTATACTGTATGTTCCCAAATTTTTTGAAGTTTTTACCTATTACATTGACATTTGTAACTTAATAGCCTCTTTTTTTTTTTTTTTTTTTTTTTTTTTTTTTTTTTGTGTGTGTTTGTATACCTGTGTATGTTTGCAAGTGTGAGTGCAAGTGCCCTTGGAGTTCAGAAGCATCAGACCCCTGGAGTTGGAGTTGCAGGCTGTTGTAAGCCACCCCATATGGGTGTTAGAAACTGAACTTGGGTCCTCTACTAGAGCAGTACAAGCTCTTAACAACTGAGCCATCTCACCAGCCCCTCTAATAGTTACATTAATGAAAATAGTATCTATCTTGAAAATAACAAATTCACTAGACTTCTAGCTGGCCATGGTGGGGCACGCCTGTAGTCCTAGCACTTGGGAGGCAAAGGCAGGCGGATCTCTGTGAGTTCAAGGCCAGCCTGGTCTACATAGTGAGTTCCAGGATAGCTGGGGCTACAGGGAGACCCTGCTTCAAAAAGACAAAAAAAAATTTTTTTTGTATTAATGAAGATAATGTCCACCATCTTGAGAATAAATAAGGCCATTTGCTAACCCTTTAGATAAACTAAAAGAATACTGAGCTGTTTAAACTTTGGTGGGTAAAATAAGATTTTTAATCAAACTTTTTTAGTTTTGTTTTAATTTCCAGTTTATTTTTTTAATATTTATTATTTTTATCTTATGTGTATGAGTGTATTGCCTGCATATATGTGAGTGCACCTGTGTCGTGCAGTGCCATGGAGGTCAGAAGAGGGCATCGGTTCCCCTGGAACTGGAGTTAAGGCTGGTTCTTAGCCGCCATGTGGGTGCTGGGAATTGAACCCGGGTCCTCTGCAAGAGCAGTCAGAAAGACCTCTTTTTCAAGACAGGAAACTAGTTGGGAACCATATAGGGCAAGATGCCTCAAGTTTGGTCCTGGCTTGGGGCTAGAAGGGAGAAGTTCTTGTATCACGGCCTCCCAAAGCATCTCTGCATTGCATGGGTTCTGTCATCATAGAAGACAGGAACGGAATTGGTGGCCCTTGGTGGAGGGGATAGATATAACATCAGTACATGCCTGCCTGGCACCCCAGTACCCACCACTTACTACCTGCATCCACTGCCCCCTCATCACAGGTGTCTGCTGTAAATTTGGATTCAGTCCAGGCCATAGTCTGGGGGTAGGGTGAGGGGATGACACTGCTGTATTGGGAAGGAGGCAGCAGGTATTGCCACCCTCCCCTCACCTGTAATTCCATCTCACCTCTAGTCCCTTCTATCTCTGGAGGAGAGTTGTGGTGATGCTTCCCATTCAATTTGCCTTTCTGGGGCATATTTATCTCTTGGGACAAAATCGGGGGACCAGAGGTTGGGGGAAGGTTCCAATGAACAGGAGTTCTGAATAGTGCCACCTGGGACCCATCACTGTCTCTGTACCTTGTCTATTTTAGTGCCCTACCTGAGAGGAGGGGGAAGAGTCAGTGGGCACAAATGCATGATGCAAGGTCCATGGCTTGCTTTTCCTTAGATAGCCTCCTTTCCAGACCCACATTATTTCTGTCCATGAAGTGAGGCAACAGCTGGGGAGCCAAGAGTGCTATGTGAAGCACGATGAGGCTTGTGATCTGGCAAGTGCTCCTTTTTGAGGCTGGTCCTCCTGAGCACCTAGGGGTTCCTTCCTTCAGAGTCTTCCAGAACACAGAGCTTTGTGTTGAGGCCCATGGGGAACTGGGAGAGAATGGGGCTGACTTATCCTCAGAGGTGAATGTGGAAACACAGCAGATGACCACTCATCCTCAGGCACTTTAGTGATGGTGGGCCTGGCCAGGGAATAGACTGGGTCACTTGTTCTCTACACTCAGAAATGCTCCATCTCACCTACTCCATGCCATCCCATCTTGGGAGTGTCTTTTGTTGACTCTTCTACCCTTTGGACATCAGTTACTGTGGCTCTGCTGTTTTAAAGGTTTCTTTGGGTCTACCCCCTTCAAAAAACTGAGTCCTGAGGTTGTGTGTCATAGAAATAGTGACCCCATGGCCACTTGAGATTGTCACCAAACCAGTTTTTTTGTCCTCATGGCTGTCTGGAGCTGAAGTCCAGGGGCCCCAGAGAAATGAGTTGTATGTTGGCAGCACTCCATTCTCTAAGAACCTGTTTTGCATTTATCTAGGTGATTCGTAAGTAAAGTTTAAAAAAAAATTACTTTGAATGTTACAAATGCTCAGAAAATATTTATGATTAACAGTCATTTTCACTTATAGTGCTTTATCTCTTACAGGAAAAAGCAGTCGATCCTAAGACACGTTTACTTATGTATAAAATGGTCAACTCTGGAATGTTGGAGACAATCACTGGCTGTATTAGTACAGGAAAGGAATCTGTTGTCTTTCATGCATATGGAGGGAGGTAAATGAGCAAATACAGTGCCATCATGTGAACACAAACATAGCCCTTTCTCCCCAGAACTGATGGATTTACATAAAATCAAAAGTTAACACTACATAGCAAGTACCCCAATTTAAGAACTGTTATTGTAGAAAAGTCTAGACATTACAGAAGGTATTTATTTTGTACTTAGAAGGATTCAAATGACTACTCATCAAGTTCTCCGCCTTTAGTTTTTTAACTGTTTATGAGATCCTGCCTGAAACACAGTGGAAGGTAAGAACCAACACACAAGGTTGTACTCTGACCTCCAAACATGTGCCACAGTGCACACACACCTTCACTCTCACAAACATGCACACACATACATGCACATAAAGAAAAATTTTCTGTCACACCAGTAGTTAGAATCTTTAGTATCCAAGAGGAGAGCATCACAGCAAGAATCGTTATGGCCAGTGAAAGAAAATGACATAACAAACCATACAGTTATGTAAGAGAGACCTGACCTGCAGCAAGAGACACAGAACAAGGTCATTGCCCAGCACATTCAGGAAAGGCATCATAATACAGATGGATCTCAACCTGCATTTTAAAAATAGGCACCACCCCTCCCTCACAAAAACCAAAAAGAAACAATGTTGACAGCCAACCCTAGATGCAGAATATACCATGTCATCTACAACTGTTATCTGCATAGATATTTCTGTATGTCTTTCTAAAATATTTTTGAGATGGTGTCTCACTATGTAGCATTGACTGGCCTAGAACTTGCTATGTAGACCAGTCTGGCCTCAAACTTAGAGAGATCCCTCTGCCTTTGCTGGGACTAAAGGTGTGTGCCACCATACCCAGCTAGCTGTATGTGTCTTTTAAAGAACACTAGAGGGACTGGAGACATGACTCAGCAGTTGAGCGCTCTTGTAGAGGACCCAGGCTTGATTCCCAGCACCCACATGGCAACTAATAACCGACCATAACTCCAGTTCCAGGGGAATCCAGTGCCCTCTTCTGACCTCCATGGGCATTGTACAACATGGGTGCACTTACATACATGTAAGCAATACACTTACATAAAATTTTAAAAAGGTCTTTTAAAGAAGACTACAGAAATACTGCATTTTAATGGTGTTTGCCTCTGGAGACAGGTCTGGAATGAGTCTACCTTAGGGATGTAGTCAGAAAACTTTGGCTCTATCTGCAATTTTTTATCATAATTTAAATTTTGTGCTAATAGACAAATGTGTACTTATCTAATAGTAAATGTTAGACGTATTGGGAATAAAACTTTATATGAACACAATAGAAATTGCTAAGGAAGACCCCTACAACCTGTAGTTCTAGCTTCTTGGGGATAAGACAGAAGGGTTAGTTGAGCCAAGGAATCTGCAGTCAGCCTGGGCAACAACAAGACCCTGTACTAAAAAGAGAGAGAGAGCTGGGTATGGTGGTGCACACCTATAATCACAGCACTTAGAAATGAGGGCAGGCAGATCAGGAGTTCAAGGTCATCCTCTCAGCTAGTAAGTTTGGGACAAGCCTGGGTTACATGAGTCCCTGTCTTCAAAACAAAACATGAGCAGAGGACTGAAGGGACATGGAATTTGCTTAAGACACAAATTTTTACTAGGAAAATGATGAGATGAATTGTTTGAATTGGATTATATGTTTTCTATGATTTTGTTGTTGTTGTTGATTGTTTTTTCATAGGGTCTCCCTAGTCACAGCCCACCTGGAGGTCATAATGTGAAAGAGGGTGACCTCAGTCTTGCCAGAGATATCCACCTGTCTCTGCCTCCTGAGGTCTGGGATTAAAGGCACACACCTCCATGCCTGGCGTTTTCTATGATATTTTTATAGGTTTCATTTACTGTGTGGTTAAACTATTCCATTGACAGAAAGCTTATCAACCCATTCTGTCTATAGCATCTTTAGGTTATTATTGGAAATTTTTCTTTGTGTAGTCTCTACTCTTTCTGAAATCTTCTTCATCCTTTTGTCAAATATTTGAGCAGTTAGCATGTGCTGGCTATTCGTCTAGGTCTTAGAGGTCCCCAAACAGGACAAGGAGGGTCCCTGCTCCAACAGTACATGTTTTCCCATCACCAACCCTTCTTCACTTTGTTATGAGTAAAAAATGTCAGATATATGCTGTGAAAATAGTTTAAGTGGGGTTATGTCATAGTTTTGATTAGTAGAATAATCAAATTAGTAGAAGAGGGAAATTGGATGAAGTGACATTGAAGGGCACATCCAGGATCCATCAAAACTCGGTCTGAAGGGCATTTAGACTAAAGACCTAATGCCTTAAGCAGGTAAAAGCTTGGCTCTTTGGGGGAATACATGAATGGCAGGAGACCAGAGCATAGTGTGTGCAAAGGAGAAGCAGTTGGGAAGCTGCAGGAGTTAGGATAGGCAGGACTGTGAGCCAGGAAAGGATTTATTGTTTAACGCAGTGAGAACCAAAGATGGGATTTTTATTTTCAAAAAATGGCTCAGGCTGCTAGAAGGAAAACAAATTATAGTTAAGTCCGGGCTGTGGACACAGTTGAGGAAAGAGTACTTAGGTAGCATGCAGAGCCCTGGGTTCAGTTACTGGTACCACAGGAAAAGTCTTTGGCAGTTTAAACTATGGAGTGATTTGACCTCAGAGTGGCAGTAAAGTGAAGAGCAAGAAACAGGGTGTTTTGAGAATGTAATCCAGAATGGGGTGCTCATAGCTAATATTGGTACTGTTTCCTGGGGTGAAGGGTGAGAGAATTTGGGGATTAATAGGTCTAGGGAGCTGTCATCGAGTTTATTGTAAACATGAAAAGCTGAAACCTGCTAGACATCCAAGTAGGGGTTGAATAAATGGACCTGCTGTTCTCAAGGAAATCAAGATGGGATAGAAAGCTGTGTGTCGTTTGTAGATAGATGACATGTTAAAGGCCTTGGACTTGGCATGGCATAGGAAAAGAAGGGAGTTCATAGAGCCAGCTAAAGGATTCAGACCTTTTGAGGCTGAATGGAGGGGAAGTCAGCCAGGAGAATATAATAGAGAAGGAAGTTGATAGTTAGGTTCCTATACTGTTCTCTGGGAACATCTTTTCCAGATTAGCATCCCTTGAGGTCTTAAAGGGAAATACTGTTATAGTTCCATCTCCCTTCTTTCCTTCCCAGTTAACCACCATTCAAGCACTCTGAATAACTGAGTTGTTATAAGACTATTGTTGTAGCATCTTGAGTCAGCCCCAACCTCTAGCCACCATTGCGCCCTCCTTTCCTGACACTGGTGCACTTGACCTTCATGAAATGTGTTTGAGAGTGCCATGCTCATAAGCCCTCAGGATCCTTGGTACCTTGGGAAACATGTCCAAGCTCTTTGTAATCTGCTTCCCTTCCATCCTTTCATCTCCACCTTTTATTTCCTCTCTCTAACCAAGACTTAACTGCAGCCTTTCTGTTCCTCAGACACGTCCTATGTCTTTCGTTAGTGCTGTTCAATCCTATTTGTTGTCCAGGTTCTTGTTTCAGGTATCTAAAGCCTTGCTTGCTCTTCCCCATGCAGAGGGAGCTGTCCATTCAGGCTGCCCATGTTCTCTCCTGCCTTCTTTGCAGACTCAAAGGACAGGGACTCCATTACCTCTTTATATATCTTCTAAGAAGGAAGGAATTATTTTTAAAAGGCTGTTCTGTGTGTTGCTTCTGTTGCATATTTTCCCCCATTATTTCTTAAGCTTGATTCAGTTGTCATGAAACGAATAGCATTATATTGTGGATTAATCAAAACTGATAATTTATTTGAAAGAATGCTTTATTAAAACAACCAGCTAATTGCTGGTGTGGCTATAGTCCCAGATTCTTTGGAAGCTGAAGCAGGAGGATCACTTGAGTTCAGGATTTCAAGGCCATACTGGGCAATACAGGGAGAAGTGTGTCCCCCCCCCCCACACACACAATCTTAATGTTTTATTAAACTAAAAAACTTGAAGCCCAGCATGGTGGCACAAGCCTTTAGCCCCAGCACTTAGGAGGCAGAGGCAGGCAGATCTCTGTGAGATAGAGGCCAGCCTGGTCTACATAGTTCTAAGCCAGCCAGGGCTACAGGGAAACCCAGTCTGAAACAGACCAAAAAATAAAAATAAAAAAATGGAAATCTTAGCCAGCTGTGGTGGTTGCACACCATTAGTCCCAGCACTTGGGAGGCAGAGGCAGGCAGATCTCTGTGAGTTCAAGGCTGGCCTGATCTACATAGTGAGTTCCAGGGCAGCTGGGGCTACAGAGAGACCCTGTCTCAAAAAGACCAAACAAAATAGAAACTTGAAGGCATAAAAAATGAAAACTGGTTACTTTCAAAGTAGATCCCATTGAGTGTAATTAAATCTTTGTTTTGAAATTGTTTTACTGAGCTAGTAACTCATAGTGACTTAATTTTCCTTCTTCCCTTCAGCCTGGAGGATGAAAAGGAAGATGGTAAAGTTGTACCTACAGAATGTGCCATCAAGGTATTTAAAACAACCCTTAATGAGTTTAAGAATCGTGACAAATACATTAAAGATGATTTCAGGTTTAAAGATCGCTTCAGTAAACTAAATCCGCGTAAGATCATCCGCATGTGGGCAGAAAAAGAAATGCACAATCTTATAAGGTAAAGAAAACATGGTGCTCCAAGTGATCTGGGGAATTCCTTTTGTATCAGGACTTAGCCAGGCCAAGTCCATGCTGTCCTCTATAATGATTTACAGAAAGAACAAAAGACTTTGAGATTCTAGTGCTTCATGAGGCTTATCCATGTATAGAACCTGAATTAATACTTTCTGGATGAAAAGGCCATTTTCTTTTTCTTCAGTGACATTTAAGAGAAACCAAAACCATGTCTACCTAGACATTCCAGCAAATATCTGAAGGCTTTCTTTTAAAATTGTCTTTCTGAGGAATAAAGTTCATGCAGGGTGCTCACCCACACATCTGCCAAAGCATGCCTCACTTAGGCTGCTCTCTCCCTGTCTCTTGACACAATACCACTCTACCCATCCAGTTTCCTACTGGCAGAGGCTGTCTGACGCTTTTGTATTCCCACATCTCCAAAACAGCATAGTACCAGCTCATTGTAGGCCCTAGTTAGATGTTTGTTGAATAAATGGCATGTTGTCTCCTTTTAATTTTTATATTTTTAATTCTTTCTTTCTATACAGAATGCAGAAAGCTGGAATTCCTTGTCCAACAGTTGTACTGCTCAAGAAACACATTTTAGTTATGTCTTTCATTGGCCACGATCAAGTGCCAGCCCCTAAATTAAAAGAAGTAAAGCTTAGTAGTGAAGAAATGAAAGAAGCCTACTATCAAACTCTTCATGTAAGCTCTGCTTTTAATATTCATGCACTCACTTTTGAAAAATATTTCATCTAGCCAAAGGTGGAATGTGCCTGTAGTCAGGCTACCTGGGAGGCTGAGGCAGGGGGATTTGAGTTCAGGTGTTCAAGGCCACCCTGACCAACATGGCTCAAGATTCCATCATAGTACTATTTCAAGGTGGCATAAGAAAAAGTGAAATTTGTGAAGGAATGCTGACGTTGAAGGGTTGTCTTTAAGCCAGACATGAAAGTGCACACCTATAATCCTAGCACTTAAGAAGGCAGGATAGCTACATGTTTGAAGCCAACCTTGTCAACATACCAACTTCTAGGCCAGCTATACTATAAAGCAAGACAATGTCTCAAAAAACCAAAAGCAAATAAATGAATAAATAAATACACAGCTGTCTACAATCTTTTACATTGTTTTAATGGAACAATGGAGAAACTTAGGTGCATTTTATATAGTCTGCCTGGAGCCATTGTGCCATACAGAACTGGTGTGAATATAAAAATGAAAAAAAAAAATGCTATCCAGTTACTTTGTTAGGATACAATTAGAGGGATGGGGAAATGGCTGAGCACTGACAATCACTTGCTGCTCTTGCAGAGGACTGGGATTTGGTTCTGAGTACCCACATGGTGGCTAACAACCATCTGTAACTCCAGTTCTAGTGGCCTTCCTGGGCACTGCATGCATGTGGTGCACTTACATACATGTAGGCAAACCATATAATTTTTAAAGATGTACTTAGAGAGGGCTGGGGAAATAAGTATTTTGGTGCAAGCATGAAGCCTGAGTTTGAGTTTCCAGGACCCAAGTAAAAAGCTGGACACTGGCTTTAATTTACGTGTACCTGTAATCCCAGCATGAGAGAGAAGACAGAAGAATCCTCAGGGGCTTGCTGGTCAGCCAGTCTAACTGAATCCATGAGTTCAGGTACACTCATACCAACACACACATGTGCATACACATAAACATACACACGAGATGTAATTAGAAAGATAAACTACCTTCCACCGCCTCCAATAGAAGAACAGTGAAAGGAAAATTCAGTCTTTGCTGGCTCTTTTGGGAAGGAGGGTAACTGAGAAAGAGAGAAATTGTTAGGGATGGCAAACAAGTGCATTGCTGGTTTCTATCATGAAGTTAGGGATTACCATCAATGATGAATATGTGATGCTTCTTGATTTAAAATACTCCCTGTTAGCCACATATGCTACATACCAAGAACCCTTAGCATTTGGAAGCTAAGGCAGAAGGCTCACAAGTTCAAGACTAGCCTAGATGACATAGTCAGACACTGTCTCATAAATAAACATCCCTTTCCCACTATCTCTGGCAGGAAATACTTTTTCCTTGGAATTGTTTGTGTTCCATGGAGGTTTTGGTGGAACATTTGTCTTCTTACAGAGAGAAGTGGCTTGCCTTGACTCCCTGGTTAGGCACAGACACAGTTGCTAGCTTACCCTTGTGGGAATCTAAATCTGACCCTTGGCCTGATTCTGCTGTCAAAAGAGCACGGAAGCAGTGTTATACACCGGTCCATCCAGTGTCCTGCTAGTCTTCATCCTGCCGAACAGCAATAGCAGCAACGACTAAAGCCCGGCCCTGGATTATTCAAAATAAAGAGGAAATAGGATCTGGGGCTGGGGTTGTAACTCAGTTATGGAATGATTGTATAAGTCCTTAGGTTCAATCACCAGTGCGGCAGAAACAAAAAGCTTTTTTAAGCTTGTTTTTCTGGGAAATATTTGTTATGCTTGTTTTAATTGCTGAGATAAGTTAGAATTGTTCCTTCATTTCCTCCCTCCCCACAGTTGATGCAGCAGTTATATAATGAATGTACCCTTGTGCATGCTGACCTCAGTGAATACAACATGCTCTGGCATGCAGGGAAGGTAAGCCCCACACTGAGTTACTATTCAGATTCAATTACTTGATGTCAAGTTATTGAATGTAAACACTTCAGTTTGTGCTTTATATTAAATAGGTCTGGTTGATTGATGTGAGTCAGTCAGTAGAGCCAACCCATCCTCATGGTCTGGAGTTCTTATTCCGTGACTGTAGGAATGTCTCCCAGGTAGGCATGTAAACCCGTCTGTCTTTTTTAGAATGTAACAGATTCAAGTATTTTTCTGACTCTTAAGAGGACCATTTTTGCAGAAATGGAAAGAATAGATACTGGCTACCTTCAGGACAAGGATATAAAGATGAATTTGTCAGAATTCATTCCTTTTTAGCAAGAATTTTAGTCCATCTCTCACATCTGAGCCAAATTTCCAAGAGATAATGTTTTTATTTTGGCTCCTATAGTTAAAGCCTTGCATAGACATGTAATGCATGCATATTGCTTAAGTGGAAGCTGGAATGTGGTGAGCCTGTGTGCTCACTGCCATTGTGAGTACTGTGACAGGAGGACAGCCTCCTTGAAGGAACAACCGCCCGATCACTGTCACTTCCAGGTAGAGTGAAAAGGTCAGGGAGCTCAAACTCAGCAAGCACTGAGCTGGCTCACATCCAGTTGCCATTTCTAAGGAAAATGACTTGCTTGTTATAGATTCAGATGGAATAATCTTTCAGAAGAATATAATGACTTCGGATTAGAAGTAACTTCTGGGCCTGCTTGAAATTTTTAATTCATGGGATTTAGTGAACGTATCTATTCATCCAAAGCATTGCCAAAGAAATTTCTTACAGCACACCTTTCCGTAGCTGAAGAAGATGCAGTGTAGCAACCTAAACCCAGAAGACAACAATTATGAAAGACAGGACAAAATCAGAGAGAGCCTGGGCAGAGTTAAGCTTGAAAAGGGAAAATCAGTGGTTAAGAATGGGAAGGAATTCAGTGGTACCTTACGAGTATATGGTTTAGTTTGTAAGAGAACCTTCCTAATGTCTCTTACTGAGTTACATGTCCTTACTAGTTTTTCCAGAAAGGAGGAGTAAAGGAAGCCCTTAATGAACGAGAACTGTTCAATGCTGTTTCTGGCTTGAACATCTCAGCAGATAGCGAAGCTGATTTCTTGGCTGAGGTAAGTAGCCAGCTCTTCACCTTGCTGCTATTGACACAGAGCTCCATAGAGGAAACTTGGCTAATCTCATGCTCGCGCCCCAAAACACAATTAGAGAGTTTTCTTCTCTTGATATACTTTTGGTTCTTTTCAGCCATAAAACATATCACAACACACAAGCAAGAACACTTCTTCACAGAGTGCATAGTAACGTGGACTGGGCATGGTGGCACACACCTTTAATTCCAGGCACTCTAAAGTCTGGTGGATCTTTGGGAATTCCAGGCCAGCTAGGGCTACATAGGTAAAACTATGTCTCCAAAAAAAAAAAAAAAAAAAAAAAAAAGGCAGGGATGGGTAGCAACACATTTCCAGCTTAGTCTTATTTCTCCTTATTTTGGGGGGGGGCGTTCTTTTTGAGACAGGGTCTCCCTGTAGCCCCAGCTGTCCTGGAACTCACTATGTAGACCAGGCTGGCCTTGAACTCACAGAAATCCACCTGCCTCTGCCTCCTGAGTGCTGGGATTAAAGGTGTGTGCCACCACACCCAGCTATTTCTATTTTTAAAAAAATATTTATTTTATGGGTTTGTGTGTATTGCCTGCAAGTATGTGAGTGCACTCGTGGAGGTCAGAGGAGGGCTTCGAATGTCATGGAGGTCAGAGGAGGGCTTCGACTGTCACGGAGGTCAGAGGAGGGCTTCGAATTCCCCTGGAACTGGAGTTAAGGACGGTTCGTAGCCACCACGTGGGTGTTGGGAATCAAACCTGGGTCCTCTGCAAGAGCAGTCGGTGCTCTTAATGGCTGAGCCATTTCCCCAGCCCTTTATTTCTCCTGTTTTAAGAATGAGAAGTTGACTAGCGAACTGGAGACCGCTTTGGTGATATTAAGAAGCAATTGCATGTGGAACTGACCCTTAACAGCACAAAGAGCTAGAGTAGCCATAGGAGAAATACTCCCTCATTATAGTACCAGAGTCACAGGAACATTAAACAGAGAGGAAACCAAATTTCTTCAGAGACCACCTCTTAAAATATTAAACAAAAGCTAGAGGGTGAAACAGCAACTCGTTCCCAGCATTTCCCCAGAGCAAAGCGTGATTACTGTTCCAGAACCCCAGTGCATGATTTGAGTTTGGCCACACTCTGGTTGGAGCCTAAGGCCAGGGGAGGTATAGGTCTAGCATGGTGTGGTGGCTCAGTCAGCTGGGCTGACACTGGTTGCTGGAGTTTACTGTCTCCTGTTCCTGGGAAGCTTTATAGAATATATAGTAAAACCGATCAGATTCTGCTTGCTGCTTATAGAAATAATCAGTACTGACCTTAATAATATATCAAGTGAAAAGCATACACGTATGTACCTACGTCACACACAGTAATTCTAATTCAGCATGTGTTATCATTAGGAATAACCTGTTCAGGGAATAAAAATGCCACTTCAGTTTCATATGAAGTAGAAACTTGACAAATGGGTTCTATCTGTAGATAGAAGCTTTGGAGAAAATGAATGAAGATCATGTTCAGAAGAATGGGAGGAAAGCTGCTTCCTTTTTGAAAGATGATGGCGGTCCACCTGTGCCATCTACTGACTAGCACCAGCCCCTCTGCTCTCCTTGTCAGCACAGCAGCGCACCAGCTGCTGGCAGAAACAAAGCATGGGTGACTCGAATACCAAAGCAGGAGGAGTGTACATCGGTGCTTCTGTGCGTCCTACTTGTAACCTATGTGCCAGATGTGTGGAATTTTTAACTTGGCATTGAAAGAATAAAATGTCACTACCTCTCATCTTATGAAAAGGATAAGAGAGTTCTTTCATAGGTGCAGCTTCTAGCTGAAGGAGATTGAATTTTACACAACTCATGATATAAAATGTCTTGGTGAGCGTTTTTAAAACTTAAGCAGTGTTTCTAAATATGGGAGGAAAGGGGAGATGTGTTTAGGAGGAAGGTTTGACGGCAACACCTGCTTTCACCTCCAGCTTTCTGTTGCATCCTCCTTCAAATAATCATTCTAAATTGGTCCTCCACTATTTTCCAAACTATGGCTGTGGTTCTAAAGGAGAATTTCTTCTCCATAGTGAGTGTTCTAAACAAGAATTGAGCTTCAGAATGATGGAACAAGAGTAAGGAGTGGACATTCTATCAGTACATCATGCAAATGAATGGAATTTGACTTTTTCCATTTCCTAACCAAAAAAGACATCATAGGTTTCTGAAAGAGATAAATATGGACAGATTTCTTAACTAACCAAATTTAAATTTTTAACTTTTAGGTTTTCTTTGTTTAGGTTAAATGGTTGTAATATAACTCATCTACATTTATAATGAATATGTAAATTATCTGGAAGGGTAGAATATAACACTTATATTTGACATTTTAAGAAGTCTGTGAAACAGATTTCAGTTTACATTTCACTAAAACTATATAATACTGATTTCTGATTGGTTTGGAGAGAAATGGAGGAAACTAATTAGATCTGTTAAATGAGCAGAGGATGAAGAGTATATGAAAAACATTTTGGGTACCAAATTAACCAATCACTATGAGCCACCTGGCCTCATGTTTAATAGTCTTAACACTGGCTGGATATTGCTTTGAAAAAGCAAGTGCTGTCCTGGAAAGGTCTGCTGGCTTTGTTAGGATTAAACTCCATTAACTACCTAACCATTCCTCCAGTCCCGGAAGGCAGATTGGAACCACTAAACAGCAAAAGTTTCTGTCTGGTAGTAAAAAAGTAAAAATCTTAAAACATAATTTATTTTGAAAGCTTTTAATGTTATTGTAAAATGCCAAATATGTTCTTTCTAGGAAAGTATTTATTTTTGTTTCTGTTACTGCTTTTAGCTGCATTTTAGAGGAGTGTGACTTTGGATAGACTCGTGTTTCTGAGGTGTTTACTACTCTGCAACAAAGATTTAAATGATTGTTAATTATTGGCTTTACAGAAATTCCAGAGAATTCATTTTTCAAACATTTAAAACTTTTGTCTTTTGACATACTCTTTGACAAAACATTGCTTGGAGTGTGCTGTGAACTTGCCTTTCAAGAAATTAAAAATGGAAAGATCATTTTAGAATTGGTTCATTGTGTAGTTTCTTCCTATTCCTTTTTTTGGTTTTTTTCTTTGAGACGGGATCTCCCTGTAGCCCCAGCTGGCCTGGAATTCACTTTGTAGACCGGGCTGGCTTGAAATCACAGATACCCGCCTGCTTTAAGGCATGCACCACCACGCCCAGCTCCTATTCCTTATTTTAATGTCCTGGCACCACAACAACCTTTCCAGATAAAATTAAGCAGTACTATTTTAAACACACCACCCTTTTACTCCTGGATGGTCTACATTACAGGGTTTTTTCCCTCTTGTATTCAGAGTACATTTTTTCACATAGTGGGAAAATAATGTAGAAAATGTTGGTTTCATAAGTAATCCAGGGGTGTGTGTGTGTATATAACTAGGTATATTCTGCTTCACTTTAAATGACTGTGGCTGTAAATGACTATAAAAAGTAAGTTATCAACATAAGAATGCCTGGAGAGAATTTTTATTTCAACAAGATAATTCATTACTAGTTTCCTTTATATTAAAAATTAGGATTTTTTTTTTTTTGGTTTGCAAGACATTTGAGTTAAATATTAGAGAAATTTAGGAATATTAAAGGCCAAGTCCCTTATATTCTAAAAAGCAGTGCAGCCCTACATCCCTGCCAAATTCCTTCCCTCAGTGCTGTGAACTCACTGTGCCCGAAGCAGATGGGCACCTTTGGCTTTCTACAGGGTCAGAATTTATTACCAAGAAGTTCATAAGCTAGCCAGTTTCACTGGCTATAGTTTACTAGTGCAGATTTTCCTTAATCTTGGCCATCCCAGCAAACACGGGTTTTTAAAATCTCAATCTTAGTTACTAATAGCTCTTTCTCCCTCACTCCCCTCTCCCATCCCCCCTCCTACCCCCTCCAGTGTGTGCATGCGTGTACCTGTGTGTGTGTGTTTGCGCACATGTGCGTGTGCAGGTGGACAGCTGCTGGAGGGTCTACAGGGTCCCAGGTCCACTCAAGCCACAGGGTTGAGCCTGCAAAGATGCAGAACCCAGTCCGGAGGTGGATGACAATTTGGGTAATTAAGGGGTTGGAACCAAGCTGAGCTTGAAGCCTGGGGATGTCAGATGACAGGTTGGTGAGGCTACTGGCATGAAAGTGTTAAATAAGTTGCTTCTCTTTATAGGGAGAGGGTATTGCACCATTTACTGGTCTAGTGTGTTCAATACATTCTCAGGCCTGTTTTTTTTTTTTGTTTTGTTTTTTTTTTTTTGGTAGCTTTAAAAAAAAAATCTGTATGCCCATATGTTCCCAATCTATTTTGATAAGTTTATAGGAGATACCTTTTTACTAATTTTAGGAATAAGTTATCACTCCACCTCATGGTTGGTGTTGGACAGATGGTGTTGGACGAGATGTCTGCCTCTCTTCAAATGGAGCCACAGTGCTGCTTTGTAAATGGGATCACTTTTACTGCCTGAAAGCCACTGTTTTACACAATAGAGTAACTTGGAGCAGAGCTTAGCCTAATCTCCAAATTCAGCATGTTATTAGGGTTTCAAACAGCAGCAGCTCCCCCCACTCCCCAACAGGGACCTATGGACTTTGGATTTTTCAAGCCTGAAAAAGGCAACTGAGCTGATAAGCACCTTGGCCTTTGAAGTCAAGGGAAGCAGATTCTTCTAAGAGGCAGCCTGCCTTTCCTCTGATCTCCAAAGACAAGATAAGCAGATTCTGCCTGTTAACTAGAAATTTTAGGAGCTGTTTGGCACAGCAACTTTTCCCTTAAGAGGACAAAAAAGTAAACACTTCCTGACCCAGATCCTGGCTGGCAGATGGAATGGAGCCAGGTTTACAAGCCCTGCTTTTCCTGCTTCCCCCCACTTGATTTTTCCCAGAAACTCCCCCCCCCGCACCCTGAAGCCCCCATTATAGTCCCAGCTCACAACCCGTGGGCTGACATTTTCCCTTCCCTGAGGTGAACGTGTCCCGTGTGAAATAAAGCTCTATCCCGCTGAGAGTTTTATCTGTGCCTCACTGCCTCCTCCTCCATTCGCTCGTTCTCCATCAAATTTTTACCTATCAAATGGTGCCGAAACCCGGCTCTTACTTCGAGGGACCTCGCACGTAAAACATTTGGACTCGCTTGTCATTGGCTGCTGCAAACACCACTGATTCAGCATTAAGGTACACTTCCACCCTCTATCTCTCTCCCCGCTCCCATTCCCTTTCTCTATCCCTCTCTCTCTCCCCTTTCCCTTCACTACTCTCTGGCTTGCCTCCATTTTTCTTTTCATCTCCTTTCAAATCAAATTTGGTCACTCCCGGACCTCACCCAAGGCCACTGGACAGCACTGGTTTCCATGACCATTGAATTGCCCGGCACGGTTACTGTGCCTACCCACACCCACCTGGGAGTCGGACCTGCCACCCCGTCACACTCAAATCCTTTTCCCTACCTCAGTTCCCTTCCCTTCCTCGCTCCTGCCATCTTTTGCCTTACCCTAACATCTAGTCTTCCTTTTCTCTCTCTCTCCCCTGCCCCCCGTTTACTGGCTACTCTGAGTTCCAGCTTGGCCTCCTGGCCCACTACCTCCTTTCCTTGTACTTTAGCTCCATCTACTGGCTGGTTGCACACCACGTTGCAGAACCTCTCCTGCTCATTTTACTCACTCGAAAGCATACCGGTATGTGGGAGGTTCCTTCCTGCCTTTGAATACAGGACACTGTCTTCACTGACAGGGACACACACAACACACACTCATATTTCCCCTCCCCAGTGATTGCAGGACACTGCCCTGGGGCTTCAGGAATTTAACTTGAATCCGCAACGATAAAAAAGAATGCTTTTCTTTTGTTCCCTGGTTCTTCTCGTTCTCGTTTTTACATGACCTAAGCCAAACCTTTCTCTTCCTGCTTTCTCTTCTCTCTCTCTTTCTTGTATGCTACTCCTTCCTGCCCTGACTCCTGACCCCGCCTCTGTTCCCTCAGGGCAAAAGATCCTCTTCGTTCCCATCTGCTGAGGTCTTTATCTCCTCTTTGCTCTGCATGTAATCCATTGCTATGGGAACCAAGCACTCAAAGTCTCAAGGTCTCATGCCTCTTGCTTGTCTTCTTAAAGCCTTAAAACAACTAGGACTGTCAGGCACAATCAGGGTGAAACGCCTAAAATTCTTGTGCACTACTTCCTGGCCTCGGTACAAACTAGATAATAACTCTGTTTGGCCAAACACTGGAACCTTAAACCTCAATATTTTAAAAGATTTGGAAAACAACTGCCAGCGTAACAGCAAGCAGTCTGAATTACCCTACATCCATGCCTTTCTTGATCTCCATGCTAATCCCTCCTTCTGTGTTGCATGATCTTCCCATCAGGTCCTCCTGGCTAAGACAGTCTCACCAGATCCTGATCCTCCAGGGGCTTCTACCCCTCTCCCTCCTCCCTACCCCTCCGACTCTGTTTTTGATCCTTCCATAGCTGATAACCTGCGTCCTATTAGAACCCAGCCCCAACCCCCCCACTCCCAAGGCTGAGGCACAGCCAAGTCCTCCCCCTGCCCTCCCATCACTATACCCTCCCTTGCCTTCCAGTCCAGGGGCCAGCCCGACTCCCCTCCCTTCTCTGCCTCAAACTCTCTCTCCACAACCTTCTCCCTCCCTTCCTCAGCATTCTGAGTCCGACACTCACTCTCTTGACTCTCCTTTATTCCAGGAAATCCAAAATCTTAAACATGTCCTTACCAAATATTCCCTAGTCTCCCCGAGTCTGACTTCTACCTCAAATACCCCATTTACCCCTCCTGTATCTGCTTCTACTTCAATTCCAGACCCTGCCTCAGATACTCCTGCCCCTACATCCTCTCATGGACAAGACACCGTTCTCACCTCTCCCACTTCAGCTTCCTCCCAGAATTCCCTTTCTCCTCTTCTACCTCCTCCCAATCCCTCTCTCGTGTCAAGCCGTACTCATTCCCACACCCAGTCTCAGCTCCCTTCCCATGGCATCTTTCCCCTCAGGGAGGTGGCAGGCATGGACGGGGTTGTCAAAGTCCACGTGCCTTTCTCTCTTGGAGATCTATCTCAGCTCGAGTGCAGAATAGGCTCTTTTTCTACTAATCCTACTCACTTCATACAAGAATTTAAATATATTACTCGCAGCTATGATCTAACTTGGCATGATCTCTTTATGATTCTCCAGTCTACCCTCATCCCTGATGAGAGACATATGGTCTGGACAGCAGCACAGGAATATGCTAATGAGCTTCATTCTGCTAACCAAGCTCACCCTATTGGTAGTGAGGCAGTTCCCCTTCACGACCCTGGGTGGGATTACCAACCCCCACCAGGAGGTCAGGCAGGACCTTCCCCAGGTAGAGCAGCCAGGGACCACATGATCACTTGCCTCCTGACAGGTCTTCAGAGAGCTTTGTCCCCTAAGGTAGTTAATTTTGAGAAGCTTAGATTGATTACTCAGGGCTCTGCTGAAACCCCAGCTCAGTTTATGGACAGACTTACTGACGCCCTGGTCCAGTATACCAAGTATGACCCAGAGTCTGCAGAGGGACAGCTTATGCTTCACCACCACTTTATCTTATAATCAGCTCCAGATATTAGAAGGAAACTTAGGCACTTAGACAAGGGCCCTGAAACCGCCACTAGAGATCTGTTGGACACGGCATTTAAAGTCTTTTATAACCGAGAGGAACAGGAGAAGGCAGACAAGCTTACCCTGTCCAAGCTGCAGTCCTAAGGGCTCCTCCCAAGAACACTTCAAACACCAATGGGGCCCAACGACATCCGCCAGGACCTTGCTTCAAGTGCGGAGTGACTGGACATTAGGTAAGGCAATGCCCTAACCCACAGCCACCACCTGGACCCTGTCCTTCCTGTGGGCAACAAGGTCACTGGAGAGTCTATTGTCCTTTGCAACACCATGGAAGGCCACTCACCTCCCAGACCCAGCCTCATTTACAGGGTTCAGTGAATGAACTTCTAGGCCTGGCGGCTGAAGACTGATGATGCCCTGTCATCTTGGCCC